AATTTCGCTCCTAATGAGCGATTTTCAACAGTGTAATTCATGACAGCAGTGGCCGCTGCCTTTTCATGTGGTTCCATGACGAGTTTTTGAGTCGAAGGTTCAAACTTGCAACGATGACGAACACTTTGCCGTGGGTGTGGCACTTGCAGAGGGCGTGACTTGGTTGTTAAGCGTGCAGCTTTTTCAGCAAAAACATTCCACATCAAGTTTTGGTCTTTTTTTGTCTTTCAAGTTTGTATCTAATTGCAGTAGCTGAGCCCTAGATACAATCTATTAACACACAAAATGCAAGCTCATGAGAGCCTTGAAGCATTAGTTTTTGTTTTTTTCTGAGGTATTATACTTTATAGGTCTATGTGCTTGGATATTTAAGTTTTAGGCTGCTTTTTGAATAGTTTTTTTAATATTCTTAATTTTAAATATGAAAAAAATTAAATATAAAATATTTAAAAAAAATTTTTTCAGCTCAAGCTCAGTTTTAGCATATAAAATAATTTTTGCATTCTAAAATTTTTGCATATTTTTAATTTATTTAATCTAATAAACAGAATTCACAACTTGACAATATTGAAAAATATTATAGAAAATGGCAAATGTCTTAAAAATTAAAAAAAAATAAGCAAAATATTTATAGATACTAGTTAGCTAGTATAAAGACTTCAGCAGTTTATGAAAATATTTTTAATAATAGAAAAATTTAGTAAAAAAACCTTAAGCAATCAGCACTCAAAGAGTTATACATTCAAAAGGCCATCCATACTTTTGTATTGGAAAATAATTTTTACTAACTTTAAAGTCCTAAATGCAAGAAAATAATTAAAAGAATTAAAAATTAACTTTTTTGGCTTAATTTAATTGTGTCTTGACTATGGCCTGGAGATGCTAAAGAAACGAATCGAAAGCTGCTCGAATGTGATTGGAATACTCTCAGGCATTAACTTACTGCAGCGTCTGCTACTTGCTCTCCCAGAGGTAGTTATCCATTATTTATTAAATTAGTATTCATTATTTAGGGTTATTCTTATTTTCTATTTCATTCTCTCCATGCAACTCATTTTAAATATATTTTATTCTGCAATCAATTTATCGCTTAAGCTTTCTAACGAAGTTTAGTCAACGTCAGACTGTCTATTAGTCGGTCTGTCTGTCAAGAGTTTTAAATACGTCCACGTGGTCAACTCAAACATAACAAATCGAAAAAAGAAACGATCTTTAATAGCTACAGCCCCAAAGTACAGCAAGTGACATCCCTTTATAGATGATTAACAAATAAAGAGGCGTGGGAATACGAAAATATTGATATTTGAATCAGCTTAGCTGTTTTTCTTATCAGAAACAAGTAGTTTCATAACTTGCTTAATTCATATGCTAATATACAGTACAATGTTAACAAGCTGTCACAGTCACTGAATCATCAATCAAAAAATTACACTCGTATTGATACAAGGTACAACATAATACGAGAAATTAATGAAAGCTTTAACACATAACATAGTTCGGTCGATAATTATGCTTGAGTAGAGGCCGAATTGATGATCGAATAACCCACATAAGTCAAAGCAAGTTAATCAGTTGATTTCCACACCATTTCCAGCCAGACGATGGATCTTCATTACAACGGCAGCAGCTGATTATAAATCATAACAACAAGAACCAGAAAAACTGGCGCCAACTACAAACTATGTAGATCTGAGCAAGAAAGAGAGAGAGAGAGAGACGGAGAGAGAGAGAGGGTGAGAGCGAAAAGTTTCTTGAACTTACATTCGGATCGTCAGCGATGTGAACGCATTCAGCTTAACTGGCAATTGAGGCAACTAGAAGTGACATCATATATAAGGATAATTCACTCGAAATGTTTATACAGACCATAATCCGTCGCGCAAGGCGAATAAATTGAAAGAAATGTTTCGGCTAGATGCTGCTGCTGCTGCTGCTGCTGCTGCTGCTGCTGGTGGGGGCCTCGGCTGAAGCCTCGTCAGTTTTTACGTGGAAATGAGACAAACAAATAAATTTACTTTGATTGAATAATGGTTCCATAATTGGCAACTTGAATGGAATTGAGTAGCAGGCAAAACAGATGCTGCAAAACCCAATTGAGAAACGTAGCCACAGCCACAGCCACAGCCACGATGCTGCAACAAGATAAGACGCATTCTAGATGAACATATATTAGATAAATTTGTGTATATAGCATATATGGAGAGAATCTTCTATGTAAACGCGGGCCTTAACTAACTGAATTGGATAATCTCATTCTCATTTCGATTCTTAAGCTGAGAAACAGCCACTAAATTGCAGCTGAATTGAGCATGCACGACTTGTGAATACCCTGTTAATTGCTTGATTTTGATCACATTAGAAATAATCAATTTTAAATTTGAATATTTAAGTTGATACATCAAATTTCGTAACTCTAGATTGAATAGTTGTTGAGATAGTCAGCTTTTATTATCTACAAGGCAAGATCAATTTTCAAAATTAGTTTATTTTTTGCTAGATAAGATATATAATTCTATATATCAAGTTTTGTAAGTCTAACTCGAGTAGTCTCTGAGCTCTATATGTTAGCTTAGATTGCTTTCAGATTAACTCTCTATATTCCATTCGAATTTTGATTTCAGTTTATTGTATCTTTAGAATATATTACGCCACATTACACCTTTAGCTAGAATACCCCACAATAGCACGAATTACAGGGTATGCGAAGAATGCTTTAGCTGGCAACTGGCGTCGCATTGTCGCCAATTGTTGTCTAAGATTTTGTTAAATTGAAATGTGCAACTGTGAAATGTCAGGCGACAATTGTCAACTAGATGGATGCGATATTCCACATACGCCCCGTTGCCAGCATCTCCGACCTCAAAGAAAGCTGCAGATCGCAGATTGAATCTTGAGTCGCTGCAGTTTATTAACCTGCAGCAGCGTGAGCGCAGCGACTCAGCGCGCATGATTCATGCATTTGGGCAAGTGGCTGAGATTGCGAGATGAGACAGATGAGAGCAGAATATGAAGAAGAAATGATGAAGCTGAAGCTGACGTAGCAAGGGCTGTTCAGAGAGTAGCTGTGGTGTGTAGATCGAGGCAAGGGCTAACCAGAGTGTAGCTCTGCTGAGCAACTGCTATTCAGAGAGTAGCGATGATGATCAGATCAGAGAAAAAGCTATTTAAAGAGAAGCTCAAAGGGCTATCTAAAGAGAAACTATTCTGAGCAGATCGATGCAAGGGCTATCCAGAGAGTAGCTCTGATGATGAGATCTGAGAAAGGGCTACCCAGAGAGAAGCTCTGATAAGCAACTCGAGGCAAGGCTATCCAGAGACATCCTCTGATAAGCACATCGAAGCAAAACAATTCAGAAGGTAGCTCACGTGTAAAGTATTGAGTCAAAAGCCTGGCAATTGGAAAGCCGTTCGACTTGCTGACACTTGTGCGTGCAACACCTTTCTAAAGTTGAAAAGTCTCGTTTAAAATGTCATTCATTCAACTGAAAAGGGAGCGCGAAGATTGAAGAGAGTTGAGAATTGAGATGCTGGATATGGGAAGTAATTAAAATATTGTGATAAAAGAGATTATGCCATGGGTATATGTAGACATAACTGTATATAGCTCTATCTATAGCAAACTTTACTTTAGAGTAAGTGCTAGGCCTGACCCGTGTTTAACTCTTGTTCACTATCAAATTTCTTGAACGCACTTCATTCCATGTGGCTGCATCTTTACAGATCAACGCCAACGCCTATGTCTGGCGCGGCCCGCATTTCTCTGCGCTAACGAAATCCAATTCCCATCCGCACAGCCGACTACATATTGGACGTGCAACCACAACAGCAACAACAGCAACAACAACAACGAGAACAACATAATGACTAGCAAGTCGGTAAAAACAATTTCATCAGCTGCCGAGTTCCGCACGCTCCACACGCCACTCCCCTGCCCGCCCGCGCCCCTCATTTTGTTGGCGTGTGTGGGACATGCGCTAAAATTTTATTTGATTTGACACTTAGCAGTGCCTGTTAGCGGCGCGATTTGTGTGTTTGTGTGTGTTGGTGTGTGTGCGACTTATTAAGGACTTCCTGTTAGCCATCAGCATCTTTTGTCGCGACAACAGATTAATTTAACGCGCTGCAGTTCAATTTAGCCGCCATTTGGTACAGTTGAATCTGATTGAAAACTATTTTCAAACTTTTCGATTTTCTCTGCAATTTCTTTGCGTTTCTTTTATTTCAATAGAATTTCAATTTTATTTAATGTCTGCCTTCTAAAGTACACAATAATAATAATAATAATATTAATAATAAGTGTAATAATAATATAAATTAATTAGTGCTTAATTTCAAATGCCTGCTGCGCTTAAGTATCGTTATCGTTATCGGTATTGTTATCGCTATCGCAACAAACAGAACTTGCTGTTTTTTAATCATAAAAATACCCTTGCGAGTGCCCTAGGAATTTAGATATAACTTAATTTCCTTGTTAGCTAAGTTAAGCTCAATTGGAATAAGATTGCAATATAGAGAGGAATTGTTTCATATAATATTTCAAAATATTTTAAGAGACTTTTGAGCAACAAAAACTGTAGCTAGTTCTTATTTTTTAAATAATATTACAATAGAGTATGTCTGGGGTAAATATTCAGCTTAGGAACTCTTCGAAACTTAGAAACCTTAAGCAAACTCGAAGACTAAAATTGAAACTGAAGAATTTTTGGTCTATTTTACATTGTTGTTGTATGGAAAATAACTGAAAAATCATTTTAAAACATATTTAAATAATTTTTTTTTGCTTTGAATTTATTAAGATTTCAATCTTTAAACTGAATTTGAGAAGTGTTTATGTATTTCTATATATATATATTTTTTTCTTTTTATTTTATTTAAAAATTTTCAATATTAGAACAAAATTTCAATATTTGATTCATTTTTTAGACTTTTTAATTTCAAAGAATTTTTAAATATTTTATTTAGCATATATCCGAAATATATAAAAAATGTTCATGCTTTGCTCTGTCTATTTTGCAAATATAGAAAATATGCGATATTCTGGTATTTTTCCTTTAGCTATCTATATACTCTGCAAGGGTATTTAAGCTTCGACTAGCCGAAGTTACTTCTATTTTCTTACACATCTCTCTCTCTCTCTCTCCCTTTCTCTCTCTCTCTATTTACAAGCGTCTAGCGCCTCAGTCGCGGCTAATTTCTGTTTCTTTATGTACAACGAATACTTATACACTATATCCCAGCCAAGCAGCTGCTTCAGCTGTTGCGCGAGACAACGGTGACTGGCTTGAGTAGCGGCTGCTGCTGAGCTGGTCCCGGAGAACGGGAGTTGGCATCGCCGTTCGCCTGCTGCTGCTGTAGGCTGGGCGATGAAGGTGGCTGGCCAAGATGTGTCATGTGTGGCTGTGGCGCCGGCGCAGTGGGCAGCGCTGCGCTGAGCTGCCTTTGATGTGCCGCCAGAGCGGCGGCGGCGGCATGCTGATGCAGCAGCTGCTGGTACTGCAGTCGCTGATACAGCTCCTGGCTGCTGGCGGGGCTAACAAAAGGCGGTGGTGGCGGTTGCGGTGGCGCCGCCCCGCCTGGATGGCCCACCAGACCGGGCGGCAACAGACCCGCCGCCGCAGCCGGACTCTTTGGCGCAAAGGGATTGTAACGCTGATACATGCTGGCCAGCAGGCTGGGCGCCGCCTGTGGATAGGTGAGGAACTGTCCGAATTGCGGATACGCCGCCAAACCAGGAAACATGGGTCCTATCAGCGAACGCTTGAAGGCAGCCAGTCGAGAGCGACTGGCGGCGGTGGTGCGACGTCTCAGCTTGCCGGTGGAGCCACCAATGAATACATCCTCCGCCGAAGGATCGAGCATCCAGTAGTTGCCCTTGCCGGGATCATCATAGTGTCGCGGCACCTTCACGAAGCACTTGTTCAGGCTGAGGTTGTGCCGGATGGAGTTCTGCCAGCCCTGTTTGTTGTCCCGGTAATATGGATGATTGGTCATGATGTACTCGTAGATGCCATTCAATGTCAGACGCTTCTCCTGACTCTGTCGGATGGCCATCATGATGAGCGCATTGTAGCTGTACGGGGGTTTCTCGTTGCCCTTCTTGTCCTTGATGGGCTTGCCATCTGTTGATTTGGTCTCTGAATCGCCATCGTTATCACATTCCACATCCTCGTCACCATCTGCATCGCCATCGGCCTCTCCATCTCCCTCTGCATCCGCGTCTTCATCATCGGGCTCGTCCACATCGACGGGTGGCGCTGGCGACATGGAGGTCACATCCAAATCCGATTCCACATCGCTCTCTGGTTCCGAGCCCAGTGGTGAGCTATTGTTGTTGTTGTTGTTGTTATTGTTGAACTTTTGTTCCGCCTGGTGTCGCTGCTGTTCCTCCTCCTCGTCGCGCTGCTCATCCTGCTCCACTGTCTCCGGCAATATGGCGTTTATGGAGAAACTGGACTTCAGATGCGGCGTGCGAGCCATTTTCATGAGCAGCGTAGCCGGCGTCAGATTCAAATTCAGATTCAAAGCGCCGACGGTATTAAGATGCGGATGCGAATGCGAAAGCGGATGCGTATGTGGCTGTGGATGATGTGTGTGCGGCGTGTGATTGTGTGGATGATGATGATGATGGTGTGCGTTGAGCTCGTCAACGATTTTCACCATTTTGCACTACAGATTGTTGTATTATTTATTGTTGTTTATTTATATTTTCTTATTTGCTTTGTATTCTTTGCTAACCCTGCATTTTATTAAGTTAAAGATTTAAGCTTTTTTATATTTATATCACAACAGCAATAACTATTTGAATGCCTCCCACACGCGTATTCGTTTACGATTGGATTACATTTGCCATTCGCCGTGGGCCGTTTGCCGTTTACCGTTCAGCACGTTCTGCTCGTTCACACGTCTGCTGCGCTGTGGCGTTTTGTGTAGACTAACAAGAATTCCCAAATCTCAATCCAGTTGCTGCGCCTAGCGGCAATTGCTGCTATTGCCACTGCAGTAACAACCAATGGCAGTTGTGGATTGTGTTCGTGTCGTCGACGCTCTCTTTCTCTCTCACTCTATCGTTCTCCCAGTGTATAGCAATAGCGCGCTCACTTGCTCTTGCTTTTTGCTTCGCGTGCTCGTGTGCGCATGCATCTGCATGTGTGTTGTGTGTGTGTAGAGATTTTTACCATTCGGCGCTAATTGATGTGCTGACATGACACGAACGCTGCCGACTGGCATTTGTTTTTGGTTTTTATCGTTTATTTAGGGTGGGGGAGCGCAACGCCACGCTCTGTCTGCGTTGTGGGTTGCATTTTGATACGCCAGGTCTTTCGTTTGCTGTGCTCTTTTAGCAGCAGCTGCCACTTTTGTTACAGTTACGCCAACGTTGTTGTTGTTATTGCTATGAAGGTCCCTTTTAATGTAGTTATCGTTTTCACACACACAAACACGGAGCTTGTTGTTGTTTTTTTTTTGTATTTGAGCAGTTGCCCCCTTTAATTTGCAAGAATTTTAAAATAAAAAGAATATATTATAGAATGTTTATAAAACAATGAAGTAACAGAGGCTTATAATGTCATAATTTTTAGCTTAAATTATTTTTGATTATAGATAATTCTTCAACATTATTAAAAATACACAAGAAAAATTTTAATTTATATCGAGAAAGCAGTTCAAAATAATTGAAATTTCCATGCAAAAATAATTTTAATTGAAATCGATTAAGTCGAGCTTTATAAAATAATAACAACGAACTGCAATTTGCTGCAATCATGTCTTTCTTGGAATCTTTAAAAAGGCAGCAGCTGCTGCTGTTCGCATGAGGCATGCCACAAATAACAAATAATTTACATCGGCTAACAGAAAAACGCAATCATTTTGTAATCATAATAATTGTTTTCGCTTATAGGAGGCGTGTACACAGCTGTGCTCTGTGTGAATGTGTGTGCATGTGTGTGGAACACAAAAGGAGGACAACGCGCTCTGATTGGAGCCAAGAAACTGACAGTTACCAAGGTATAACATGTTTTACCTGCGCAAAAATCAACTAAATAAAAACCATAGAAAAATGCAGCAGGAGCAACAATAAAAGCAATAACAACAGCAACAATTGCATAAATAAAAACGCCAGACGCCATGTTGGCCAATTGTTGTACTCTGTGGATTGTAGCTCTTGCTGTCGCTGTTGTTGTTTTTGCGCATCCCACAACGGAATGTGGTCGGTTCTTTGTATGTGTGTATGAGTGTGCATGGCTAAAAATTATTGGACGTTCGCCTTGCGTGTAGAGTGGAGACATGCGCGCAAAAGTTTTTATTCACTCTCTGAACACACCACAAGTAAGTCCTCTCCCTCTCTCACACCATACACATTTGTTAGCTTAATGGGGGCTCGCAGGTCAAAACAAAATGGCGCTCACAACGGCATTTTAATTGCTGGCTTCAATATATTTCAATGGGATCTTCAGCTGCGTACGCGTTTTTCAATTGGGTGTGTACATATTAGTGTATTATTGTTGTTTATTGTTTTGGTTATTTGCATAACCGTTTCGTTATGGACAACCAACTGAATGAGAGTATATTGGCTCTCGATTTACGTATTTACTGAAGCTGTACTTAAGCTGAACTTGCACTTTTTATGCCTTTTACTGCAAGCTCAGCATTTTTAACTTTTGATTTAAACTTGACTTCAATATTTTAAAGTCGGCTATATTCAGTGCAACTTACTCTAAATAAACTCTTCTCCACATGTCAATCAATTGAAATTCTGCATTTGATGTTCTCTTGTTATGGGAAGCCAATGAAATTTGAAGTAAACTTTTTGAAGTGCCCTCAGCAAATTCTGAGAAGTTTTTGATATGCGTAAAACTAATTTAATCGTGCAAAAGAGGATTAAGGGAGAGGGTGATATAATTTTAAAGATAGTAACATTGTGTATATAGTAATAATAAAAGACATCTAGAATCTACATTAAATTTAGCTCAAAATACAACCCATTCACTAGCTTTTTATTCACATACATATCATATACAAATATACATGTTAAGATTCTTAATGTGTTCCTTTATAGATACCGAAGATCTCCTTCATACCCACTCCAACGCTAGACCGGAAACTCTAAGCCTAAGCCTAGGTTCCTTCCGTAAAAACCTTCATTGATACAAACGGTGGCATGTCAATAAAAGAGTTGTTTAAAAAGCAGCTACCGTCGAGAGCCGCAAATTAAACATGAATAAATACATATACACATATGAGGGCCCACAGACTGTCCATAGAGTATTCGAGAATCAGTTATCGGGCCGCGGGTATTTACGGGGGCGAGAGTACTTTACTAATCAGCCAGATTTATAGACGGCATTTAGTGTTGTTCGCTTTGTTAGCGCAGAGACGCGTACCTTTGATATTTGCCCAAAGGGGCAAATAAATCCCAGAGCCGCTCTTGGCCTGATAACCCTTCTGCTCTCAACCCGTTCGACGGGCTGGTCAAAGTTGCCACGCCCGCAACGCCCGCACGGATCGCGATGTCCTTCCGGGTAGAAGCATCGCCCGCTTTATTTTGATAAACTCAATGGCAGTTTAACCGCAGGATTAGCTTGTTTGCTCAACGGATCAACGCGATGCATGCAAACAGAGGCGGCTACCTACGCGGGCGGATCGCCCGGCCAGGTAATGGGCCGGTCGGCAGGCAGGTCGGGGTTAACGGGTTAAGCAGCGCTCACAGGACATCGGCTTCCGTTGTTTACATTGTCTGTTTACATGCAGCCCAGCGATGCCTGCACAGTAGCCAAAAATTTGAGCTGCAAATTGGTCTTAGCCACGCCCAGGACTCGTCGCTTCGCCTGCGCCGTGCCGAAAGAGTTAAGCAAAGGATTTAAAGTGTCCTTCTGCGCTTGGATTTCGCCGGACTTAGCTTAGCGCGTATTAATCTGATATTCGTGGACTTCCACGCCGTCGACGCATTGGACTATTTTTCGGCCTAATCGCCGTCGCTTAGCCATGCAAATATTTTCCAACATCAGTGCGCGGGATTTGTCTCGATTAAAGCCAGCAAAGAGTTAAGGGTGAAGAGTTAAGGGTTGTGGGTTAAGGTTAAGGCTAAAACCCTTATGTTTTGGCCCCGCCTGACATCTGATTTCGTTTAAGGCGCAACACAGCTTACTCTACAGCATTTGCTATCGGCTTATACCCTGCCTTTTCGCTCAACGGCGGCTGGGGGTTTTGGGCCTCTGCCCCGTGCTCTGGCAAATTGGCCAAATTTTGCGAAAATCATGCACAGCAGAGCTTTTCCGCACAACGGGTTCCTTTCACAGGACAACGGACAGTTTTGGACATTGGCATCTCTCTCTATCCCCCTCTCTCTCTTTCTCTGTTATTGTTATTATCGTGTGCTTCGTTTTGCAAATAAACAGCCAAACGAGTGTGCTACAAGTGCGAAAGTCCCAGGGGCCAAGGGGGTGTACGACATAGCGTATGGTTAACGACGGGTGGTTAACACCAACAGCAGCAGCAGCAGCAGCAGCAGCGTGAATTGAGCTTAGAGTAAGCAAATAATGTGTAGCTTAACGACTGCTAAATACTCTATGATGTAGAGAGTTGGCAGTGGAGTTTTGTTACTGTGCTGAAGTAGAAAATTTTAATTTTGTCTTTGTCTAGTAGTCAGTAAGCCAGCTTAAACTGATGGACTGCTGAATGCTCTAAGATGTTAAAGTATTGTGTGCTTCATGAAGTTTAATTTAAGGTTACACATCTAAAATAGGAAATTAAAGTACGGACAGAGGACTTCAGAGCACAGATGTGGCTATTCTAAAGCTTACTTTTATGTACTCTTATTTGTTCACGAAATATTTGACAGCTCTCCCACAATGCATGTAATTTAATGTCTATAATCTAGATCAGTATATAAAATCTATGTTGATATAGTTCAGTGTACTTGTTTCTTAATGGAAATGAATAAATGCATAGTCTTAAATATATTTATACACATACAAAAAAAATAAAAATCAATGTTAAACTTGAAAAAATTTTTAATTTATAATTTGCTACATTACACTGTAACCACTGTAAAATAAAATTAAGAATTTATTGCTTCTGAAATAAGAAATATTAAGAAAATAAACCAAGGCAACGCTATGTCAATATATATATGCCGACCAGTATATATTAAGTATGTAGTTTGGTCAAAATCTAACCTGTCAGACTTACCTTTGTTCAAAAATGTAATAAAAATCATTTATTTTTCATGATTCCCATATCTGTCTAAACATATCAGACTAGAATATCGAACACACAGCTTTGAAAATATAGTCCGAATGTGTTTTTATGGCAAATTGATTTATATATATATATATTATATATATATATATATATATATATATATATATAGATAAATGATATTTATATTTTTTTTTTGTAAATTTGCTTGAAGTACCCGCTGCGACAGATAACCTGTTACACTGATGATTATGTATACATTCAAAAATGTCTATATTTTTATAATATTCATTCACTTTTATCGTAAGTTTTATATTCCTGCATCTTGTATCAAATATTTACACTACACAACAAACTTAAGACAAGATTTCTTGCGTTCAATATTTCCATGAACCGTATTTTATATGCTCATTCTCTCAACAATTTTTCGACCCACTAAAAAGCACATTCATGGTCACATAGCGCATCAACTGCGTCACAAAAAATACACTGAACAAAAACAAAAAAAATCTGCTGTGTTTTCTAAACGCAAACGTCGCCTGTGCCTGCTCCCGCTAGTCTTACAGCTGTGTGAGCAGCCCTTTTTTTGGCCTAGCACTTGATAATTGTTGACAATGTGTTATAAACTGATTTACACGCATTTAACGAAAAGAAACACTGCCAAAACTCACGCAGCGCCAACACCAACAGCAACAACAACAACAACAACAACATGACGAACATCGTTAGCGTCGACGGGCAACCGCTTAGATGTCATCGTTAGCTGATGTTGCTGCTGGCGCAGGGAAATTGAAATTGAAATTGAAATTGGACATGAGGCGAGGGGGCTGCGGCAGCGGCACGGGGCAGGGCAACTGGTCGCGTGTGCCACGCGAGGGTGGCAACTTAAAGGGGCAAGCACGATTTGTGTGCGCTCTGCTGTTGTTGCCGTTGTTGTTTGTGTGCGTTAATGAACTGCGTAACAATTAACAGCAACAACGAGCACAAATAAAGCGCAACAGCAACAAGCAGAAGGGTGCTGCGGCTGCGGCTGCAGCTCAGCTTAAAAGTCAGTGGCCACGCACACGATTCCCATTACGTTGCCCACTTCCCACTGCCCAGGCCCAGTCGCAATACTTAAACTGAGAAGCGACTGCCGCTGCTGCTGCGGGTTCATTTGCGGATTTATTGCTGCATAATCGGACAGCAGCAAGCAGCGGGAAGAACGACTAGCAGTTACCCTGTAAACACTTAAATGTGAAGAGCATTTCCAAGACAACTTCGCACCAGCCCCAGCCTCAGCTGAAGCTCTT